GAAGTTCGCACTAAAATTATGAGAATATCCAATAATCAATTTTTAATAAATGCTGAGGCAAAAGACAATTGGGTTATGCGTTGTAAGCGTAATCCTTCAAAACATATACCTACTTGTAGGTACTGCAAAATAAATCTAAATTGTGATTGTTCTTTGATGACCAATGATAATTATATACCTGAGCGAATAGGTTGCGTTATGGATTCAACGGAAATCGAGTACAATTATCCCATTAACATACCATTCATACATCATTTTATAAATGAAAAATTAACGGTCAACATGACCGGCTCCGAATTAGACTCAGTGGAGCCTGTGATAAACCATGAAAAACTACCGGTCACTATGACATCAGCTAGATGACAGAACGCTATAAAATCTGAGGGAATAATAAAAACAGATGTTAAACATCTTGCGGATGCTGTAAGGTCGAAAGGACCTCTACATTTTTCAGAGGCGGATCAATTGAGTTTTGAGATGGGTGATTGGGACTTTTTCGGAATAAATATAACCGATGTGATAATTTATGTTTCTTTTGCTCTGGCTGTGATCGCGATCATATCTAATATTTATGTGCTAACAAAAATAAAGTTTATATTAACTACTATTCTGTCAATAAAGAGTGTAATGAAAGCGGAAGGTCGCCAATTCATTGTAAAGTCCATGCGAGATACTACTACGAGTCACACTCCAGAAAATATGAAATATTCAAATGTCACCCAAACTTGGTCAATCATTATATTGACCATAATGACATTTTATGTACTAGTGATGACGATTAAGTTTACGTTGAAAGCATGGCGTGCCGTGTGCGGAAAGCGAAGTGTACATAGGAAATCTAGATTGATATGAGAATTATCTTCATTGAGTCAACGGATGACGATACCAATAACAAAGTTACAGTATGGGTATAACAGGTGTCAGTTGACTCAGCGAGGAGTTATAAATAGTATTCAAGTTCAAAAGGGACTGTTTTAAAAAAATTTATCCATTGAATGGGGGGAAATCAAATTTATATTGGACAATGAGGAAATGAATTTGAATTTACCACCACGAGTCCCCTTGCCTTATGGTTATGGAAGGTCCATTTGCGATGTCCTATCTGAACCTTATATTATTAGGTTTTATTATGAATTGAAAACTAATGTATTTGTCCTAATACCCTTAGCAAGGTCCTAATGCGGAAATGGTTTTGAAATTTCAGTGGCAGAAAGACAGTTGTGGAGAAGGGTGCGGCCAACCACAGACAAAGCCACCCAAACAGATCTACCCACAACCCCTTCTACTTCAACGACTGGGAAGGGGGAAAATTCATCTAATGAACGCACATGGGCGGAACGTGTAGAAGCTCAAGAACTGAAAAATATATTTATTGAACAATTATCCAAAACGGTACTCAAATAAACTTTGATCCTTGGGTACGACATGAACTAGTAAAAAAAAACCACCTTGGAAAAAGAGTGAGAAATAAAATTTCTGATTGAGTGCCTTCTAAATTATGGAGTTTTGTAAATTTATCAAATGTCAATTAAACACCTTACCTTCCTGGTCGCTGAGCAAGAAGGTATACTCCAAACAATTAGACAAATTAATAAACATGACCTCATTGTGTTACAAATGTCACTTAATATATCCAATCATGAACATCCATAGTCTCCCTTGTGGTCATCATGTTTGCTCCAAATGTAAATACATCCTAACATCAGATGAACTATTAGGTTGTGTAGACTGTATACAAAAATGGAAAGATGATCCCTCCTGTTGTGCCAGCTGTTTAGCAGAAATCACTTACTTGGGAGAGGAACATAAATGTCCAGGTTAAGTTAGTAAAACAGCATGATAATGTTATGATTCGGTCAGTACGTAATTATATTTAATTATATATAATTACTTTATTATTTATTTATTATCCAATGTAAAATACCATTTATATTCAGCATATTCAAACATTGTAAAGATCTTGCTGCTTTCTTATGATTAATGATTATTTAGACCTCAGTTTGCTTTAGTGCAGGGAAATCCCTACGCTACTATATTCAGCCAAAATAAAGATATATCAGAAGAATTCTGACAAGTTAAAACTTCCAACAACCAATCACAACTCAGAATTATGATTTGAATCTTGCTTACATAAGCATGAAATCAGCAATATTCTTACTTATATTTGCACAATTTTGACAGGTAAAATAATGTATTTTACCTGGTATATAAAGAAGCTGGCAAGATCTGTTGATTCAGTAAGTTTTACTCGCTCACTACAATGCTAAACAACTAATGGAATGAGGAACAACATCTAAGCTACTGAAGTTCTGCTGACCGAATCAATTTCAAACAAGAAGAATTGGAATTGGAAATAAAATAAGGAAAACAAATCAAAGGAGTCGAGTTCGATTAGGAAGTCAGGAACCCTGCAAGTACCGAATAACCACAAGATCCCGGAGTTCACTGTTACGATCCGTAACAATTGGTGTCGCTGTGCGGGTAAAAAGAAAGAACAGTTATGTAAGTATTAACTAACTGCATGAAAAAGCATGATTTTCATCATTCATCATACTAACATAATTTTTTCTCTAAAATGCCAAGCGAGAAGTTAAGTTTAGAACAAATGTTTAAATACCGTTCATAATCAGTGGTTGGTAGGAAAACAGGGTTCGAATATATATCATAATAAATCATAATAGATGATAACACGAAGAGTAACTCACAATATGGAAGCTATTGATGCCCGACTTAGACAGTTAGAAACAGCCCAGAACCCAGATTTGCAAGGTCAGCTAGATCAGTTAATAGCTAGACAAGGTAATAATGCTGAATTGCAAGAAAGGTTAAACAGGTTAGAAAATCAAGCTCAAAATAGGAATGAAATTGATGGTAAAAATAGAATAAAAACTTTTGACGGAAACTCCTCGGATATCGATCCTTTCAATTGGGTTAATAGGTACAATGCCTATGGAGATTTACAGGGGTGGAACAATGAAAGAAAGGCTCGCGCTATGCGTATGTTTCTTGGGAGTCAAGCTGAATTATGGTATAATAATCTACCAGAAGACACTCAACATGACTTTGAAGCTTTACAAATGGCTTTTACGCAATATTTTGTGGGAAATAGACCAAAATGGAACATACAAGCTCAATTACTTTCTAGAAATCAGAAGCCTAATGAAACAGTTGAAGAGTTTATGTCTGATATAAGACGATTAGCCTCACGCTTACAGTTGGAGGAGAGCGAACATAAGACAATTCTGATCAAAAATTTTCTCCCAAATATAAGAAAGTTCATGATTTCAAAAGAACCAAATGATCTTGCCTCTGTCGAGTCAGCCGCCAGACTAGCCGACTGCCTGGCCCGGGTGGACGAGGAAGCTGAGAATGAAAAAAGCAAGGTAGATACACAAAATTTAATGTGTAACAGGTATCCCAACTGAGCAGAGATAGGGGGAAAAGTGCTTCAAATAATAGATTCATTGATGGTAGGCCGACCTGTCAAAAATGTTTTAGGAAGGGTCATTCAGCCCCATTCTGTAGAAGGGGTGGTTCAAGGTCATTCAATAGTCCAAATATCCGTTGTTACAATTGTTCTGGCCAAGGTCATATAGCCAAGTTTTGTTCGGTCAAAAATAGGCAAAATGGCAATCAAACCCGTCCAGTTAGCTCTTTAAACGCCGAAGGCCGCGTCTAGAGAAGCGAGAACTGAAGTCACGGCCGGAGAAATACGTTAAAAACAATCCTCGCGAGATATTTATTAGAGATATTGAAATTCAGGAAGACTTGTATCAGGATAATGCTGTAAAAGCGAAATTATTTAATAGTGCAGTGTGGTGTCTTGTAGACACAGGCGCTCAGATATCCTTGATTGATGAAGAGCATTTAGAAGCCATAAAGGACTATGATATAAGAGTATATCCTGAATTTCATATCAAACCAGTTGGAGCCGGAAATGAAAGATTGAATTTAAGAGGAAAAATTTTCACAAAAATGACCTTTGGAAGGGTAAGTATTCCGATAATGTTATATGTCATTCGAGGATTGAGAAGAAAAATCATATTGGGTGCCGATTTTCTGAACAAACATGAAGCCGTGATCGATTTCAATGTCAAAAAGTTGAGACTAAAGC